CACGCCGGTCACTCACAAACACTGCCCATGTTCCAGGCCCTCCTCCTCCTGTGCCAGCCCTGGCTTGGTACGCTAACCCTCCTGGCCCCTCTGCTGTCCTTTTTCCTCCCCTCTGCCTCACACCTTGACCTGTTGAATGGCCACAGAGGCTCTTTGCATGCCGATCAGAAGTGACTTGTATGCTCCCCACCCCCGACTTCTTTGCACACATGTTACCTTGCTCCATGCTCTTCTGCACCTTTTCTTCCTAGGCACTGGCTAGAGGTCATGAAAGCAGCCCCAGGAGCTGCGTTTGCTCATCAGCAATTGTAGGAGACCTCCCACACCCCGGCAGAAGCTCACATGGCCTCCCTGGGTTGTCAGAGTACCATTTCCACCACTGATCCCACTCTTCACAGCATCACCTCAACTTCTCCCCTCCCCATCTCTCCTCCTTCATCCGTGGCCCCTCCATTACCCTCAAGTACAAAAATGAGAACCACCAATATTTGCTGAAGGAGTTGTCTCCAAATTGTGATCCATGAAAGTGTTTCAGAGGCTCTTCAAATGTTCCATGAGAATGTTATTCTAAAACTCAGTTTGACCCCTAGTTTAACAGAAAACAAGCACTTACACACATTCAGACATGTTCTACAGCACATCGGAACACACCGAGTACAGCCAACAAGTGCTGCTGGTTTAATTCGGTTTGTGCAGACCTCAGATTAAGGTCTGGGTAGATCTTTTCCTTCAGTGTGAAATGTGTCTTCAGTTAGGAGGAGTGAAGCTCTTTCCTGGGTATCTTTGTGTTGTCTTTTTAGATTCAGGACTTCATAAGCTTATGTAAAACCATTCAAGCAAGTACACTTTGAAGCTTTCAATGATAAGGGAATATATTATGTGGATTATCATGAAAATATCATATAAATGACTGTGGGGCTTCCTGTCTGACTTGTGTGTGTAATACGAAGGAATTCAAGCAGTTTGATAGTCACTGATGCAAACCAGAATTCCTTTCTACTCCTCCCCAAATGCCCAGATAATGTTGAACTGAAGACCATTCTGTGGCTCTAGGTAAGCTGTTAACAATCTGCTACCATTCACATCATGTTATGGATGTGATTTGAATTCCTTGGCTGGGCGCAGTGGCTCACACCTGTAATCGCAGCACTTTGGGAGGCCAAGGTGGACGATCACAAGGTCAGGAGTTCAAGACCAGCCTGGCCAACATGGTGAAACCCTGTCTCTACTTAGAATACAAAAATTAGCTATCGAGGTGGCAGGTGCCTATAATCCCAGCTACTTGGGAGGCTGAGGCAGGAGAATCGCTTGAACCCAGGAGGCAGACATTGCAGTTAGCTGAGATTGCACTGCTGCACTCCAGCCTGGGTAACAGACTAAGACTCCATCTCAGGGGGAAAAAAAAAGAATTCCTTAATCCTTTGCAGCCAAGCTAAATGAAACAAGGAAGAAAAAGGAATATTAGATAGTGCAGCTGATACAGTAATACAGGAATGATCTAGGACAGAGGTCAGAAAACTTCTTCTGTAAAGAGCCAAAGAGTAAAAACTTTAGCCTTTGTGGGACAGACAGTCTCAAGCAGCCATAGATAATGCGTACGTAAATGGTGTGACTACGTTCCAATAAAACTTTCCAGAATCGGGCAGCAGCCTGGATTAGGCCCACAGGCGATAGTTTGCCAATTCCTGATCCAGAACCACAGATTTCACTGTGTGTGCGCATCAAAACAGAGGCATCGCTAATAACATAATAAATGTAACTTTCATAATAAATAATAAATAATTGTTAAAATAATAAATAAATGTCAAAAATTTAACAGCCAGGTGGAGGTCCATGCCCATAGTCTCAGCTACACAGGAAGCTAAGGTTGGAGGATCCCTTGAGACCAGGAGTTTGAGGCTGCAGTGAGCTATGATCACACCACTGCACTCCAGCATGGGTGACGGAGCAAGACAGTATATATATATTTTAAAAATCTTTAGCATCTGACTTAAATTAGACTAAGTCTAAAAGGCAATAATTTGGAAATAAGAAAAAGAAATAAAAATGAGAATCTTTAAACAATGTTAAAAATGCAAACTTAAAAAATAAATGTATTCATAAGCCATCACTTTAACCTGTTTTATATATTGACATTCCATGCCAGATTTGGCTTTTAAAAATAGCTTCTAAGACTATAAAAGCTTGAAAACTGCTCAAGTTTCTTGTTGTTGAGAAATTACTTCCATATCCATTTTCAGATGAGATTTGCTCCCTAGTTCCTCATTCAGAAATCACATTTATTCTGGAGAGAGCCCCCCATCAGGCCCCTTCTGAAGAGCGGCTGTGACTCCACGTTTCCCTGCCTTCAGTCATTCCCCACACAGCCATGCGCAAGCCTCCGATGGTGCTGATGGGCCGCCCGCCCTCCCCAGCACCAGGCATTCGCAGCACTGTATGCCTTTGTCTCGTCTGGGTGCCGTCTACCCCAGCTCCTCCCTGGTGATGGGGAGGGCCATGCCAGCAGTGGCCACGATCACCTGGACTCCAGCAGCACCAAGTCAGCACCTCATTAATCACAGGCACTTTCTTCCCCAGGGAGAGTACAGGCAGGGGCGGGAGCCAGGTTTCTCCCTAGAACTGACAGCTCATTTCCCTCTGGGCAAGTCCCATACTCTACAGATTCTTCCAAGCAGCTGGCTGAGCTTACACAGACAAACAGAGTCTGGGGAGGGGATGGAAATGCCAGGTCTGCAGAGGAACCCCCATCTGCACTCCCCAGACGGTTCCCCCATATCTCTGGCTTGCATCCCTCAGAGGCTTCTGCTTCTGGGGTAGTTCAAGAATCTGTTGTACACCTCGTGGAATGAATCCAGACCCTGTCCAGAGACTGCTCTTGAGACCCTTAAGTGGCTGTGATATGCACAGAAGGAAACAAGCACTACTTCGAGACACCAGGAAGTGCCCCAGGATACAAGCCAGGGGCCCCACTGGCTACAGCATAACTGATTCCTATGAACATGTAGATATTGCTGGGGAAAGGGTCATTCTGGAAGTTGTCACTGCTTTTCTTCAGGAAGCATCTTGGTGGAGAAAAACGTGCTGGGTCTTTTGTAGCCAGAGGTTCTGCCGCTTACCCTCTATAGCTGACTCAGCCTCTCTGTGCTCAGTTTCCTTATGTGCACAACAGAAGCAACAGGACCAGACTCGCTAAGGTTTGGGAAGGACTTGAACCTGTCTGTGCAGTGCAGCGGCATCAGTCCCTGTGCTTTACCCTGACCTTAGGGATGCAGCACTGGGGCCAGAGGGCAGGGCATGCAGATGGCACAGGGCTGCAACCGGGAGAGCAGGATGGTGGTCCAATTGCCCACACATGCCAGAAGGTTGGCTCTCATTTGGGGAGCCCTTGTTACATGGTTGGCCACATTCTAGGGGCCTTCCTCAGCAACACTGTGAAGCGGATATCACTGCTAGCTTCATTTTGCAAGTAAGAAGGATGAGGCAGAGACGGAGCAATTAGCCTCCTAAACCAGTAAGTATCTTGAACAACCAGTAAGAGTCAGGGCTGGGATCTGAACTCAGGGTGGGTCTACACTGTTAAGTACGATAACTAACATCCCCTCTCAAGATGAGGCTCTAATGCCCAGTTCTTCCTTGGAATCCAGGGAATGATTCCTTTACCTCCTCAGGTGAACCCTGGTCAAGGCCTGGGGCTGGTAGTCCCAAGCTGTCATATTGTGGGCAGAGGCCCAGGCCCCAGCCACCCACCAGTCCAGGCAGCAACAGTGATGCCATCTCTGAGGGCTGCCTGTGGCCCCATCTCCTCTATACAGCGAGGAAACTTTGGCTTTCGGAGAAGCGGAAGAGTCACTGCTCCTGGCATGCCAGGCGGGGAAAAGTTGCCTTGGAAATCACAGCTGGGCCCACAGACCCAAACACAGAATGGGATGAGCATCTCCAGGGCCCCAGAAAGAGGCCCTGGAGTCCCCAAGCCTTGGCTGCATCAGAATCAGCATATATTCCTGGGTCCCCAACCCCGAAGAGTCTGATGCAAAGGGCACAGGTGGGCCAGAAAACTCACTTCCTTCCTTCCTTCCTTCCTTCCTTCCTTCCTTCCTTCCTTCCTTCCTTCCTTCCTTCCTCCCTCCCTTCCTCCCTCCCTCCCTCCCTCCCTCCCTCCCTCCCTCCTTCCATCCCTCCCTTCCTACCTCTATCTTCCCTCTAATCCCCAGCTCTCTGGGTGATTCAGGTTCTCCACACCAGAGAAAACATCCAAGGACTTATTCTTGACCCAATGAGCTTCTAACACTGCACACCCAACCTGTACTACAGCCTGAACCATAGCACATACCTGAAGATCTAAATGCATATATAAACATAAGCTGATACCAGGCCTCTCCCCAGGCCCATCTGATCACTATCTCCGGAGCTGCTGCCCTGCTATTGAAATTGCTGTAATTCCAAGGATCGTTGCCCCAACCCTCACATCCTTTCAATCCTTCATCACCTGGGGCAGGTGCGGTGAGAAAGGGGACTAAAGACCTGCTGCTATGTCTCTAACTCCTGTGGTTCTGCTCTGACTAGGCACTGGGTGGGCAGTGGGTGGTCTTCAGGCAAGAACCATTACGTGGGAGAACAGGGTGGAGCTCCATCTCTCAAGAGGACACAGCTGGACTGGCTTGTGGAGGCTGTGGCCCCTCGAGAGGGGCTGTGGGCCTTTGAGAAGAGCTGTTGTGTCCTTTGCTAGGACAGAATGGAAACTGAGGAACCAGGGGGCAGGGCTGCATTTCAAGGGAGACAGCCTGGGGAGAGCAGGAGCCAGGCATTGGCACTCAAGGTATCTACTCCTGACCAAGGAAGGTTGAGGACTTCCAGAACAATTTTCACAGAGGCATCAGGAAGGCAATAATAACACTAATAATAACAATAATACACTTTAGAGGAAGAGCTAAGCAGGTTCATGCAAGACAGACCAACATGGCGCCTGGCAAGCATGCTCGGCCACAGCCCCCTTTTCCCACCTGTGCTGAAGGCACCACTTCCGATGACCGAAACTGAAACGCTGTTCTCTCTGAAAGCCAGCATTCATGTCCACTCCTGCGGCAGCTACCCTCCTTCTAGGCACCGCTCTTCCGACCGGAGGGGCGGGCTTGTTTGGCCGGGACCCCACGAGGCTCCTCCATGAACTAGGTTGAGGCTGCTGGGTTTGTGCCTCGGATCCTGCAGGAGATGATTGAGAAACATGGTCAAAGAGCTTTCTTGGTCAACTTTTTTAGACACAGAACAATCCTGCCTGGTCTGGAGGACCAAGCCCCCAGCTCCTCCTAAGTGGCTTTACTTGGTGGCGGGCCTGATCCCCACATCCTCCTACTTTGCACCTAACACTTAACTTCTCTGAGCCTCTATTTCTTCACTAGTGTGGTGGGCAGAATTCTGAGAGGGCCTCAAGATTTCCTGTTCCCCTGGTACACCGGCCCTGCATAACCCCCAGGACTGTGAATATGACGGATGGTTGAGTCATGTTACAGGGCACAACTGACCTTAAAAGTGAGGGATTATCCAGGCCTGACCTGATATGAAAGCCCTTTTAAAACAGAGTTTGCAGGAAATGCCATTCTGGACATCAGCCTTGGGAAAGTATTTAGGGCTAAGTCCTCAAAAGCAATTGCAACACACAAAAAAAATTGGCAAGTGGGCCTAATTAAACTAAAAAACGTCTGCACAACAAAAGGAACTATCAACAGAGTAAATAGACAACCTACAGAATGGGAGAAAATGTCCACAAACCGTGCATCCAACAAAGATCTAATATTCAGAATCTATAGGGAACTTAAACAATTCCATAAGCAGAAACCAGATACTCCCATTAAAAAGTAGGCCCAGGGCATGAATAGACACTTCTCAAAAGAAGACACACAAGTGGTTAACAAACATGAAAATAATGCTCAACATCACTAATCATCAGAGAAATGCAAATCAAAACCACAATGAGATACCATCTCACACCAATCAGAATGTCTATTACTAAAAAGGCAAAAAAATCACAGATGCTGGCGAGACTGTGGAGAAAAGGGAATGCTTATATGCGGTTGGTAGGAATGTAAGTTGGTTCAGCTGCTGTGGAAAGCAGCTTGGAAATGTCTCAAAGAACTTAAAACAGAACTACTGTTTGACCCAGCAGTTCCATGACTGAGTATATACCCAAATGAGCTAACAAAGGGAAATAAGTCGTTCTGCCAAAAAGACACATGAACTCCTCTGTTCACCCCAGCACTATTCACAGTAGCAAAGACATGGAATCAACCTATGTGCCCATCAATGGTGGATGAGGTAAAGAAAATGTGATACATATATACCATGGAGTATTATGCAGTCATAAAAAAGAGCAAAATCACATCCTTGGCAGCAACATGGAGGCAACTGGAGGCCATTATTCTAAGAGAATTAATGTAGGAAGAGAAAATCAAAATCAAATACCATGTGTTCTTGCCAATAAGTAGGAACCAAACATCGGGCACACATGGACATAAAGATGGGAATGACAGACACTAGTAACTAGTGGGTGGGGGAGTGAGAGGGAGGGACAAGGGCTGAAAACCTACCTGCTGGGTACTACGCTCACTACCTGGGTGACAGGATCAATCTACCCCAAACCTCAGCATCACACAGTGTACCCAAACCTGCACACGTGCCCCCAAATCTAATACAAATGTTGAAATTATTTTTAAAAAGTGGAGTTTTCTGTGGCTCAAAATCACAGGAGAGGAAGTCAGAGAGATTAGGATCTGGAGAAGGCTTCACCATACCCTCACCACCTTGAAGATGGAGAGTCGTATGGAAAGGACTGGCCCACAGCTTCCAGGGGCTGAGAGCAACACCAGCTGATGACCAGCAAGAAACAGGACCTCAGTACCACCAATGCAGGGAACTGAGTCACGTCAACACACTGACTAAGCCTGGAAAGCAGAATGTTCCCCAGAGCTTCCAGATGAGAACCCAGCCCGCCAACACCTTGATTCAGCCTGGAGCAGAGAATCCAGCCACTCTCTACCACTTCTGTCCTAAAGATCCATGAGCTAACAATGGGTGTTATTCTAAGTCACTAAATTGAAGGTAATTTGTTATGCAGCAAGAGAAAACTAATACAGCCTGGAAAAGTGACTCATATTCAGGCATGGGTGGCAATGAAATATAATATCAGACATAAAAGTACATTGTAGTCCCCAAATCACAAAATAAAACAGGACAATGGAGGTCTGTGTCAGAGCGGAGCTCAACAGTGATTCCTGAATTAAATACACAAATGAGGATCGGTTTTTAATAATTGACTTACCAGGAGATCGTAAGGATCAAGTAAGGAAATACAGAGGAAGGTGCTTTGTAAACTAGAAAGCCCAAGTTGTTTCAGTCAGTGGTGGCATGGCATGTCACATCCACGCTGTGCTCTTTGGATGATGCTCTGGTTTGCCTGCTCCAGGCAGTGTGGTGGGATGGATAGGAATGTGGCTTCCAGGGCTGGGTTCAAATCCAGCCCTTCCACTTCTGACATCTGCCGCTTTAGAAAGTTGCTTTGGCTTGCTGTGGCTAGCAAGGGAGGCTGAAAGTGGTGAGTGCCTCCCAGGGTCTGTACTTTAACGACTCAGTACATGGGAAGGGGCTGGAACAACACCTGGCATGGCCCACGTAATTGCTCTGAATATTAGCTCAGAGGGGAACCCAATAATCTGGGTCTGGAACCCGCACACAGGCCTGGGGCACTGTTACCCTTCTCCTCTTGGGCATCATGCTTTTTATTCATACAGCCTCAGAATCGTGTTCAGCAACCATATCACACTGCTGATTCCTACAGAGCATACAGGTCACAGAAGCCCCGCTGCTGTCCCCTTCCCAATGTACCTGCTGCTATGAAACCTGGCCAGCCCCATCCTACACCCAGGGCAGGGTCACACCACCAGAGTGGAGAGCCTTGCTCTGAGGCTCTATCAGTCAGTTCCTGATTCTGCCACCCAACCCAACCCAACTTCTCACTACTCTGTGGGCTTCCATCCTCCTCAGTCTGACCTCATGCCCTCCAATAGATCACAATTATTAATCAAATGGCTGTGCTCTCTTCCTCCCAGTGTGGAAACACTCACTTCTCAGAACACGCTATTCTACAAACACAATCTATGGTTTCCTCCCCTCTGTGCTTGGCTCAGAAAGTTTCTTCTGCACTGAATGCTACTTTCTCCCTCCGCAATCATGCCTACCTGGCCGAATCCTGACCATCTTCCTCAGGAGGCTCAGCCAGCTCCCACAAAATTGGACCTAAGTTCTGCCTCCCCAGAATACCCGAAGCACATTTTCTGTGGGTCTCCTAAGATAAATAACAGTATCCCCTGTGCTCAGCCAGTGCTCTAAGCACTTCTAGGTTGCACACAGCTCAGGCAAGGTCAGTCTGACTCACTCTCTCACCCCGAGTGTGGCCGGCCACACACAGTCAGGGTGAAACAATTCTCCTTAGCGCCCAATTTGGTTGTTAATTCATTTAACAGGTATGCACTCAATGCCTATTTTGGGTCGAGCCGGGCTGTAGGTGTCAGCGTTAATAGCTGGCAAGGATTTAGTCCCTGTCTTCAAGGGGAGCATGGAGTAGGCGAAGTCCATTTTGATGGTGTCCGAATGTGTGAGAGAGAGAAAAAATAAAGAGGATATTTAAAACAAAGGGAGTTGTGTAAGAAGAGACAGAGGACCCCCGAATGGCCAGAATGTTCAAGGAAATTGCATGCTGTCCACATGGCTGGAGGTGAGGGGTGGTGACAGTGGGAGGTGCTGGGCTGGGGCCAGAGCATGAGGGTTTGACAGATGAAGTGGCCTGGACCTGGTGGTGCTGTGGAGTGAGGTCATTTTCATCAGTGAGGTCATACAGCCAGGATGAGGGGTGTGGCTTGAGGAGAAAGGATCAGGTGGAAGGAGACAGCCTTCTTCAGGCTGCGGGCGTGAGGCTGGTGTCACCGACTGCCCACAGTCTCCTCCCCTGTGGCAGGTCAGAGGGCCACCCACCACACTCGTGTCCCGGTCACCAGAAAACGTCACACACACCTGAGGGCCTAGATGGCAAACTGAGCCCATCTATCTCCCTCTCCTCCCCGCAATGTCCCTGAAACAAAAGGAGAAATGTACAAATAAGAACAGATCCACAGTAGCACCAGCTGGCCAGAAAGTCCAAGGGAAAACAGACGAGTGGGAGTGACAGGAAATCTAATCAGAGCGAAGCTGGCCTCACCCAGCCGGGCAGGGAGGGCCCACCTGCCAGGCAACCCAGGACTTGCTCAGAGCTCCTCCATGGCAGGGCGGGCTGGAGGGGGGTCCTGAAACACCCCCCAAAAGAGTGGATCCTCTGAGTTTCCAAAGAGACAGAAGTGGGAGCTGGGCAGGGAGGTACTGGGAGCAGAAAGTACCTCCCCACATAACTTTCTGTCTTTAACCGAATGATTTTAGTATCCCAGGAGCCTCTATCTCTGGCAAATGGCTTGACTGTTCATCACGGAAACCTCCTGAAGGACCCACCTACTCTACAATCAACAGCTGGTGCTCTAGGATTCTTTGAATCCCTTGCCTGGGCTCAAAACTCCTCACCTCATGGCTTCCACCAGTCCCAGACTACTGAGTTCCTTATACAACCCTAACCAAGCCCTCACACTGACACACCCAACTTAAAGGAAACTTCCAGTCTTCAGAAAACCCAACCTTGCCTCCCTCGTCCCACACATGCCAAAGCTCCCTGAAACTGCTGGCCTCCCTTCAGCAAGTGAATAATACACTCAGCTTTGCCTTACCAACAAGTTGTGTTGATGATATCTGGGGAGCTGGGATTTACAGTCTCTGCAAAAATGCTGGGAATCAGACTGACATTCAACTTGATATCTGCATCATTTACAACAGGGCAAAGACCTCCCAGCTTGGAGGAAAAGGGGTTAAAACCCTTAGCTCCAATACTCAGCCAAGTCTCAAAGCCAGAGAGAAGTTCTAAAATAGTGTGCCACCCACCACCCACACATCTTTTCTTAAAAAAAAAGTACTCAAGGAATTACTCCAAGGAAATAAAAATTGTACCAGAGTAAGTAATTCAAAAAAGGACAAGACGGGATATACAGGAAACAGGGAGAAATAACAAAAGCAGAACAATGTGAAGTCAAGTCTCAACAAATGTTGATAATCATGATTCTATCTTGTTGGGAATTAGACACCATTTAATTCTTACACGAATAGAGAAATTTGTGTAAAAACTAACCATTTCTAGAAGAAAAGTAAGAGCAAACCGTTTAAACCGCTGTGTGGGGAGAGGGGAAGGGAGAAACAGAGAAAATTCCATTAATTTAGCCAAGAGTTGGGAAAGGAAAAATTAAACAGGAAAAAAAAAGTATAATAAACAAAGGACATAAAATAGGAAGACAAAAGATACAATCATGTGAATAAATTAAATTACTTTAAATTCAGAGGCCAGGCTGGATAAAAGGAAAAAGAAAATCCACCCGTATGCTGGCTGGAAATTACATACTTAAAACACATTGACAAAAAAGATTGAAATCAGATAAATGGAAAAAAGCAAACGGTAACAAAAATAATGTGAGAAAGTCAATATTAACATCAGACAAAATGCAAAATATTAATTAAATACACTAAAGTGGGGTTTTTTATATCACTAAAGACTCTATTTCTCCAAGAAGATACAAAAATCATGAACTTTTGGCTGGGCATGGTGGTGCACGCTTGTAATCCCAGCACTTTGGGAGGCCGAGTCAGGTGGATCACGAGGTCAGGAGATAGAGACCATCCTGGCTAACACAGTGAAACCCCATCTCTACTAAACATACAAAAAATTAACCAGGCATGGTGGCAATGCCTGTAGTTCCAGCTACTCAAGAGACTGAGGCAGGAGAACGGCCTGACCCCGGGAGGCGGAGGTGGCAGTGAGCCGAGATTATGCCACTGCACTCCAGCCTGGGTGACAGAGGGAGAGTCCGAGTTAAAAAAAAAAAAAAAATCATGAACTTTTACTCTCATCATAAACATAGAACCACAAAATGTATAAAATAAGACATTCTTGGAACCACAAGGAGGAGGTAAAGAAAGAACAGAAAATCTCTTGAGTATTATTATTTGAAATTTGATGGTATAATAACCTCCAAAGAAGAATACAAAGAGTTTGAAGATGCAGTTAGTAAGTTTAACTTCATATATATTCAAGAAATAGAGAAAACACTTTTTCTCGAATGTCCTTGTATTAGACTGCAAGAAAATCTCAAATTCCAAAATGTACAAATTGTACAGGCCACAGCCTCAGTTCTTGATGAAATAAAATTAGACATTAACAAACAGCAAAAAATACATAAACAAATTATGCACATGACAATTTAAAAATGCTTTTCTAAAAAACTCTTGAATCAGAGGACAGCAAAGCTATCATAGGATAATTATAAATGTACAATATTGAGAAATCCACTTTTCAAATCTGTGTCGTGCAATCAAAGATGCATCTAGAGAAAAATACAAAGCTTAAATGTTTTCACAATAAATTAAGAAAGGTTGAAACTAAATGAGTTAGGCACATAACCCAAGAAGCTAAAAAAAACATGAAACAAACCAAAGTAATCTAGAAGAAATGAATACAGTTGAAAATAAAATAAACGAATGAGAAAATGACAGCAACCACAAATTGCAAACTAAGCTTTCTGAGAAGACCAATGAAATGGACAAATCACTGGCAAACTTACCAGTAATGGCAAAGTCACAAATAAGCATTAAGAAAGCTGATGCAAACACATACATGAACATTCGAAAAATTTAAGAGAATTTGATAAGTAACTTTGTCAATGAATTTACAAGGAGATGATTTTCTAGAAAATTACAACTTGTAAAACTGATAAAGAGGTAGAAAAGCTACGTAGACTCTAATAACTACAGCATAACCTGTGGAAGAAAAGAGATAGAATTCCAAATTAGCAGAGAAAGAATGGATTATTTAAACAAAAGCACTAGGACAACTGGCTGTTTATTCACTCAACAAATATTTACTAAGAACCTACTATATGTCGGGCACCGTTCTGGGCACTAAGAATTCAGCAGTGGACAAAACAGAAAAGGTCGGTGCCCTTATGGAGCTGAGAGTCTGGCGAGGTGGGATGAGTAACAAGCAACCCAGCAGGTAAAACAAACGGCATGGTAAATGGTGGCCGGTGTCATCATGAAAATTAAGCAGCAAAATGGGGTACAGAATGAGGAAGGGTGGAGAATATTATTTTAAATAGGATACATGCCTATTTAAACATAGAAATGTATCCTATTGACATAGACATAGACATTTATAGCATAAACATACAGAAATGTATCCTATTGACATAGACATAGAAATTTATAGCATAAACATACAGAAATAGCACAGACATACAGAAATTTATATGGATTAGAGATGTAAACATCCTGTAAAATTCATGAAAATACCAGAACAATGAAAATATTTCTATAATTTAGTGTTGGAAGATAACTTTCAAAGCCAAAATTGGACCTCAGTGCTCTTAATGGAAAAGATTACGAGATCTAACTACATAAAAATATTAAGTACTACATAAAACAAGCAAACAAAAAAACCCAGTTAATCAACAGTTAAAAAGCAAATGACAGACTGGATAAAAATATTTGCAACATATATGAAAAAGTGTCAATATCCATAATAGGTAATAAGCACCCACAAAACAGTAAGACATATAGCCAATAAAATGGGGAAAGAAAATGAACAGATCATTGCTTAAGAAATACAAATTTCTAATAAAGATATGCAAAATGCTGGCCTCATTAATAAAGAATATGTGTCAAAAATGTGGATCATTTGAGGTCAGAAGTTTGAGACTAGCCTGACCAAATGATGAAACCCCATCTCTTCCAAAAATACAAAAATTAGCTGAGCACGGTGGCACACACCTGTAATCCCAGCTACTTGGGAGGCTGAGGCAAAAGAATCACTTAAACCTGGGAGGCGGAGGTTGCAGTGAGCCGAGATTGTGCCATTGCACTCCAGCTAAGGCAACAAGAGTGAAACTCTGTCTTTAAAAAAAAATATCAGTATAACCTTTTCCCATTTGATTAGCAAAGAGGAAGGTGATTGCTATCATCAAGTGGTGGAGAGAGAAGTGGTCATCAAATACTTCTCAAACACTGCTGGTAGGGTGTAGATGAGGAGAATCTTTTAACCATGTCTACCAAAATGTATGTCGACTCAGCAGCTTTTCAAGTGTGCAATACATCATTATACACAAACATACACACACATGCACACATAGGGATGATCACTGTAGCACTATTTTTTAACAGTGAGGGTGGATGCAGCCTTAATGACCATCAGCAGGAAATTGGTTTAATAAGTAAATGATGATAAATAGGCACAATGGAAGAGCCATGGTAACATAACTTTTCTTAAAGATAAACATATACTCCTACCAATAATAGAGATTTATAGTGACTTTGTCTGTGTGTCAAGCTTTGTCTAAGTGATGTACAAGCTTCAGCGCTTCTCACGGGTGGTCTCGCCGCCCCACTAACGGCCTGCCAGATGGAAGGTGCCACCTTTGCTCCCATTTTCCATCTGAGACCTAGAGAGGCTAAGGTCTGACCAAATGGTGAACGTTGGTCTCTTAGACTCTGGAGCCTGCACTCTCGGTTGTGACATACACTTCCTCTCAATGGGATGGTGAAAAGCAAAATCACAGATGCACACCTATCTGAGTAGCTGTGACTGCTAGAAAGGACCTGGGGATGCACACTTGTCCTGGGGAGAGGACTGCAGAGTGGGTGGGGCTTGAAACATGCATTCTTTCTACATTTCCATACTGTTCTTTTTTTAAAACAATAAGCATGTATCACTTTTGCAATGTGAAAATGATATAAAAGTATAAAAACAGAAAGTAGAACAGGAGTTGTCTGGAGCTAGGGCTGTGCAGAATGGTGTGGGGCAGGACGGGGGGGGGCATCAGTGTTTAATAAGCACAGAACTTCAGTTTCACAACATGAAAACAGTTAAGAGGCCAATATAAGTGAAACAACTAAGAAACAGAAAATCAAATACTGCATATTCTCACTTATAAGTGGAAGTTAATAATGGATACACATGGACACAGAGGGTGGAATAATACACACTGGAGGTTCTGAAGTTGGGAGGGTGGGAATAGGGTAAGGGATGGGAAATCACTTACTGGGAACAATGTACAGTATTTGGATGATGGTGTACTAAAAGCCCACACTTCACCACTATGTAATATATTCCTGTAACAAAACTGCATTTATACTCCTTAAGTTTCTGCAAAGAAAGAGACAGACAGAAAAGAAAGAGAGAAAAGGAAAGGAAAGGAAAGGAAAGGAAAGGAAAGGAAAGGAAAGGAAAGGAAAGGAAAGGAAAGGAAAGGAAAGGAAAGGAAAGGAAAGGAAAGGAAAGGAAAGGAAAGGAAAGGAAAGGAAAGGAAAGGAAAGGAAAGGAAAGGAAAGGAAAGGAAAGGAAAGGAAAGGAAAGGAAAGGAAAGGAAAGGAAAGGAAAGGAAAGGAAAACGAAAGGAAAGAAAGACAGGGGAGAAAGGGAGGAAGAGAGAGAGTGTGAAAAGAAAAGAACAGAACAGAAAGACGGATGGTGGTGACGGGTACACAACTTCATGAATGTGTTTAATAACACTAAGCTGCACATTTAAAATGACTAAGATGGTAAATTATATGTTATGTGTATTTTACCACAATAAAAATTGAGAAACTGATATAAAAGTATAGAAAACAGTTAAACAGGGAGGGGGCAGAGGGGCCCATCTGCAAGATGGCACCCACCCAGGGCAGGAAGGACCAGGGCCAGCTCCTCTGCAGGCCCCACCCAAAATCGTGAGGACAGAGGGCCCTTGCTCTCTGCTCCCCACCAAATAATCAAAGCAAGG